GGGGGGGGGGGGGGGGGGAGAGATGAAAGGGGAAATGGGAGATAAGTGTAACTTCTGGGGTGTGGGGCTTCAGTTTCAGCAATGCTTTCAACCTGTATACCAGTCCTAAATAAATGAATGAATTGATGGTGTCAATGCAAGTTGCTTTCATTAGGAACTGTGCATTGCTGGTCCTTACAGAAACTGTCATTTGATTTAATAATTTGACAGACCAAGACTTCAAAGGAGACTCTTTGTTTTAAAGCCTTGTCCCTGGGAGCTTAAGAAGATAGATGTGAATAAATTAACCTATCTTCCTACTCCTTTGGTGGTCTTACATTTACCTTCTGACACATGAAACTGTCAGGTCCCTGCCTCTCCCCAAAAAGGAGTCACTGCCACAATAATCTGTTAGGAGAAGGAAAGTCTTCATGGGGTTCAGTCTAGTTAGAGGAACACAGATGTAAGATGTTTAGTACAGTGAGGTTGAGTTGAGCTTTGGGAATGAAAATGATTCTGTACATTTGAAGCAGAAACCATTAGGAACACTTTTCAAAAGAATAAGTTGCAGGAATGGATTAACAGATAATCATGTAAAAGTTGTATGCTTTGTGTCATAGTTAAACATATGGAGGCCGCCATACATGTCTTTTTCTTCAAATTCCTTCTCAAAATCCACTTCTTGAATGAATTCTTTGATTTAATACTTTCAATTTTATGTACAAGTATAACCAAACTTTGTGAATGGAGCTATATTTACTTGCAGATTTCTTCCTAACCTTATCTTTATGTTCCAATATTTGTTGTTGATTTAAGACTGTACACTCTTTGGAGCAAGAATATTGGTTTATTTTTGTCTATGAAACGGGAATGTGTTGTGCATACTAACAGCAAGATTAATAAAGAGAATCTGTTATGGTTTAGCAGTTGGAGCACAGATAGGGAAATTAAGGCTGTTCAGAAGTTTTTAGATTATAACTCCTATTAATCCCAGATAACAAGGTAAACAGCCAATTATGGGAATTGCATTTCACATCTGAAGCATGAACAGTCATGATGATCATCTCTGGATCTACCAGAGCTGCCTTAATCCACTGGGCACAATAAGGCTGAAAAGAATATGGGAACTCTGACCTTAATTGCTCGTAGTGTTTGAGCACTGGAGTGTGATTCTCCTTCCAAGTTGATAACGGTAGAGTTGTCAGAACAGGACTTGCATATCAGGATTCCACTAGAACACAATATAAAAATAATTTTAAGCATATAACCTTAAGGCATAGGATTTGATTTCAGATTCCATGGTTGTTAAATCTTCTCACGTGATTTAATGTTCTTCCTCACATAAACATTTTATCTATGTAGAAAATCAAACAGCAGCATAAACATTTAGACCAAAGCCTTCCTCCTTGCTATCTTGTTTCTGATATGCAGGGAGATTTTAGGGTGATGGTGGTATGGTGGATCATTCGCAGTTATGTGAATTTGCACCTGCAATGAAGTGATACAGCTGAAGCACATGCTCAACATTCATCTAACCTATGTAGAAAGGCACAAAATAGGACAGGTCTTACATGCTACTTTATAAATTTTATAGCCGATTCACACAACCTTGGCTGCCTAGGTATATGATGAATCTATGATAAGATTGCTTTGTTAGTCATTAAAGTCATAATGCAACCAGAAATAATTTTAAAAGTATATAGATTCATCAATATTTTGATTTCTAGGGTTCAGTTGGGGCAGATCCACACTGGGAAAGTTCCAGGATACAAATGACTGTGCAGAACCCTCTCTGTAAAAGGTGAAGTGAAATCAAAGTCTTAACTAAAACCTTAGAATACCTGTGTTGGAGAAACTTAGGAACAAATATGCCTCTAGATGGCACATTAGGCACACTAATTTAGTCCAATTGACACCCATATTTGCCAGGTCTCCATCCTCCTCCTGCTCACTTTCTATGTTAACAACTGGGGCCTCTTTCCACAGGAGCTATACACTAAGATGCTTAAGGCTTGACACATATACGACAGAAACTTGGGGGAAATAAGTGAAGGTTTATTCTTGGATGCAGTTAACACCTGATTTGATCTGCATGGGCAGGAAAATGGCAGCGCCAGTGGAAAGCCCTGAAACATTTATTGCAGTAGATCACATCTCCTCCTTTCCGGCATATACTGCATTTGTCACCAATGGTCACTTTCTGCAAAAATACAATTTAAAGTCATTTTCTAGCAAAGTATGGTCCATTTTTACCCTCTTGAGAATTGTTTTGTGCTTTATGTACAATCTTTTCTATCCTGTGCTTAATTGCTCTATCATAATTGGTTAGAGCTCCACCCACATTCCCATCCTTAGCCTTATAGCACACAAACAACCCTAATTAAAATGAGAAAACTTAAAAAATAAACATTTAAACTTTGGAAACCTCAGCAATAATAGGTCCAAACTGCCTGGTCCACTCATCTTCATAATACCGGCAATATCAGCGGATGTCTTAGGAATGGTAAAGAGGTCATACTTTACCACTGTCCTTGCATTGTAAAACAGCAGCAAATGATACTTACTGATCCAGCTGAGTCCTTCGGGGGAGGAAGAGAGTCATTTTTGGGTAGAGGGAAAGGGATATGTTTCTATCTCTTATTTGTGAGAAGCAAGAAGTGTTAGTCTGATCCAGCAGGGGTGTTCTTAAGTTCTTTAGTCATAGTTATTTGAGATCCAGGAGAATGAAAAAAAAGCACAGTATACAGTAATTTCATTGCAACGATTTAAACATTAAGCACTATAAACACTTCCATAGCTGCTTGCTTATTTATTAGATTTATATTCTATCTTTTATAACAGGAATTCCAGGAAACATATATGCTCTTGCTGGATCTCTTCCTATTTTCCCAATAACTTGTTAAGATACATTGCATTGAGAGAGGGTGACTGGTCCAGAGTCACCTAGTGAGCTTCCATGGCTGTGCGTGGAATAGAACCTAGGGCTCCCCATTCCTAGCCCAACACCTTAACCAGGACTCCACATTAGATCTGCTTGATCAGAACTAGTCTATGTAGGGAAGGGAACAATTTAGAACTTAAAAACAAGCAAAAACAAAACCCTGGGATCAGACCATTTCATGTTTCTAAAATGCTAGAAATACTAGCTAGCATAAGCTGAATATCAAATTGTAACCTCTTTCATAGATCTACTGTACTTATTTATGTCATCCCCAGCATGAAAGAAAAGCAGGAATGTTATCCAAGGACTCTTACACAGCATTGTAAGAGTGGCATCCCACAATCCTTTCAAAAGGTGCTACTGCATTGCCATTTTTTATAACAGAAGAAGGGACCACCATCTTAATTTTGTTTAGTACTTTCAAGTCATTCTTGACTCCTGGCAACTGCCTGGACTAGTCCCTGCATTTTTCTTGGCAAGATTTTCAGAAGCCGTTTCCCACTGCTTCCTTCCCAGGGCTGAGAGAGAGTGACTGGCCCAAGGTCACCCAGCTGGCTTTGTGCCCAAGGTGGGACTAGAACTCACAGCCACCCCGTTTCTAGCCTGGTGCCTTAACCATTACACCAAATTGGCTCTCATATTAACTATTTACTTACATTCACTTAAGTTTAATATTGAGAATCATAATACTAACCATTTACTTAATTTAATTTTAATTAAATTTAAATTAACTCAGTTTTAGAGTTTGTCTTGGCTTTGCCCAGTTCTTGGTCCTAGCCCATTCACCTCTTGGAGCGTGATCCTTGGCCTGCGCTCAAGGACAAGAGCATACTCCCGCTTTAAACTTCTGTCATATAGCTCTTCTGATCAAATCAGCCAAGTACCATTCACGGCAACAAATTGTTTCACCCACCCCAATGGCCTCACCCACTGAAATGTGAAAAATCCATGGAAAGACAATCTACTGACCAGCTGTTTCTCTGTTCCCACATTCTGTACTGTGGGTGGAGTTGCCACAGGCACAGAGAGCAGAGATGGCAGAGGCTGCCTGAAGGAGGCACACAGAGGTTCTTTGATGAGAACTCTCCTCCCATCTTCAGTTGTTCTCTGGACATAAACAGCACCCTAAGCAGGCAGAAAAATAACACTCCAGTCCTTATTCAGCTGTAGCAGTGAAAACATCTACAAGGAGGAGGCAGTACAAGCCATACAAATTATTTCAGATGTGTCATACGCTGATCTCAAATTGTTTTTAAAGTGACAGAATTTTTTTATCATATTGTATACCAAATATCTATGCATAGCTTTGAACAAAATTCATTCTCTGTTTTCTTTGTTCAGGATGAAAACTGGACTGTGACACAGGAGCAAATGTACAGCCAGCCATTGGAAGACTTACACAAATAAAAGAGCAGATCGTAGAACTACTTAGATATGGCAGCCTCCTCTAAACTGATATTCTGGCTGGAGATGATAGGAACTACCATGCCAGATATGTTTCTGGTATCTGGCATGATAGTTCCTATCATCTCCAGCCAGAATGAACATTTGACATGGAAAGTCAAAAATCGCAGTTATACCTGACTTTGAGAAAAGGATTCTCTGTTCTTCTCTTCTTCAGTCCCCCTGTCCTGATTGACCTTTCCAGATGAGCAGGAATCACACCTCCATGTCCCACTGGTGAGTGTTCCAAAGCAGAAAGACAGATGTATGATCAAATATAGTAAGAGAGAAGGAAAAATGAGCTTATTAAATCTTATATAGAATCAGTTTTTCTTCATGCAAAGTAGTATCTTCAAATAATACTGGCCGAAGATATTTTGCTGTCTCCCTCTCTCCACCTTATCTTTTTAGAGGTAATTCCCAGTTGCATTACTTTCAGCACTGTAGGGGCAGCATTCTCCATTATATTTAACTTTGGTTTTCACAATGCGCATGGAATTATATCCATCAATATCTTGCTGCTGCTGCTCCCTGTACACAAGACCCGCTGTCTATGCTGGCTGTCTGATTCTGCCCATTCTGTCTGACTAGACCTTCCTTCTAACCCTTCTGAGTTAGTGCTGCTCTCTCCTTAAAGTGGCACAAAATGATGTCAACATAAAATTTGCTGTCCTGTCTTACTCTCTTATGGTGGGAGGGGGAGGTGGGGTGATTGACAAATACGAGGAAAATGGCAAATAAGCAACACAAGCTCCATTTAGTAGCCCTCGTTATTTTCTGGACACTGCAATGAAGAAAAGTGGGGCTGTGGCATCTAAAGGCAGAAATACATTTCAGGGTGTTTTGTTCCAGAAGATTAGCGTAAAAATGTTTCTTCTTTCCACATAAAATAGTGGAGCTCTGTTTTCCTCTTCTCTGCCCATGTTGGAAGCCCAAAGAAAAGTTTATATCAAAAACAGGGAGGAGCAGGGAGAAGGGAGATGAATCTGAAAGAAATCAAGATGCTCATGGAGAGGGCAAATCCTGGGATAAAATGGCTGCAGCAGAGGCTGGGAGATTGAGGCCAGTCTTCCCAACATTTCCCAAACACACCTCTGATCACACATACAACATGTCCGCTGATCTCACCTCCAACACAAGCATGACTAAATGAACAGATTTTACACATCTTGAAACTATGATGTAATAGCACTGATTTAAGCAGAAAAACATTACTTTAATACTGTTGTGTCTATTATGATTTCAGGCTGTTTCATTCATGGCCTGGAGATGAGGCAAGGGCAGCATCATAAAGATAGTGAAGGAATATTGGTGTTTTCAGAGCATAACTGTGCTATGTTAAAGTGCAAGTAGGGCAGACCCAGTGCAGCAATGGAAGCGGCACATGCAGACTGCAGATTTCAATGCAGATACTGTAAGCCATCCTGGGATGAAAAAAGGACAGGTACTTTTTTTTCTTTTTAGGATACTCCCTAAGACTGTGGATGCTCTTATACTTAGTTGTTACCTAGAAGCCACTGAGTTGGGTCTGCCCCCAGTGACTATATGGGAAAATACCCACCTTCTCAACCTGCTCTCAGTGATAATCTGTAGCTCTTCCAAGGATATTCCAGTGATTATCTTGGATCTCTCTATATCCATCTGATCTGTTATCTTTCCCTTCTTCTATTTCCTTCAACCTTGCCAAGCATAATCATTTTTTCTGCTGCATTATTTGCTTGTACCACATGCCCAAGTATTTGGGTTTCTGTTTACTGATCATTATCTCAAGGGATCAAACAATTTTTATTTAACCCAAGAATGATTGGTTCTTCTTGCATCCCATAGTAATAACTATCTTCAGGTTCATAATTCGAAGGAATCTATCTTCTTCCTTCTATTTTTTCAGTATTCATATTTCAGTCATACATTGCCTCTAGAAAAGTGCTGTTTTAACAATTAGCGTCTCTATTGTCACTGAAATATCCTTCATTATTTTGTCTAAGTTTATCATTGCTTTCCTCCATAGCATTGATTTCCTGTTTACTCAAGCACACTATCCATCTTTATTTGTGAGTCCAAGAAACAGAAGAACCATCTACCTTCACTGTCAGCTAGGATTTACTAAGCATAGTTGTTGATTTTACCTTTGTATTTTAAATATTTAACATGAATCTAAATGTTTTAGTTTTCATTTTTACTTAGATGAACTCTTCTAAGTCTTCCTTATTTTCAGCTACCTAAAGAAATATTGCCTGCATTCCTCAAATTGTTGGTATTGCAATCAAATTTTGATTCCAGCCATGATCTCTTTCAGTCCTGGCATTCTTGTAATATATGTGCTGTACAAATTAACTAGGTAATGTGGATAATATACATTCTTGTCTCACTCACTTTCCCATTCTGACCCACTCTGCTTCTCAGTTTTAACCATAGCTTCTTGTTCATTATAAAGGTGCTCAGAAGAATAATCAGAAGAAGAATAATCTAGCACATCCATTAACCTTAATATATTCCACATTCTACGTAGTTGGACACCTTACTATAGCATTTATTTATTTATTTATTTATTTATTTATTTATTTATTAATTAAATTTGTATGCCACCCGTCTCCCCCAACAGGTGATTCTGGGTGGTTCACAATTAAAACAAAACCCACAAACAATTAAAAATAAATACCACATTAATTAAAATAATTAATCAATTAAAAAGTCAAGCTATAAAGCAAACCCTATACATAAAAACTAAAAACATAAAAATAAGCTAATGTAAACCTCCTTCTATTGTCTTGCTGTCTCCATTTTCCATCTTACATTAGCCATCCGATCTCACATCCTTCTTTCTTTTCTGAAACTAGCCTGTTCATTTAGGTTTTCTCTCTCCATACATGGCTTTTTTCTTATAATATCTTTACTGAAATGTTGCTGGAACCCAGAAATATTGCAATCGTTTGATAATTTACACATTCCCTTGTATCTCACTTATATATATAAAGATATATACCCAATCTTTTCTCATCTATAGACCACACAGTCCTGATCCATAATTACAATTTACAATCCAGGGCTGCATGGAACCCTTGAAAACATTTTTGTAGTTTCTGAAGCCACCTCTCATCATTCCACCATATTTTGGTAATGCAGTTGGTAAAAGCCGATGGCATATTTTCCCACCATTTTGTGTTTAAAAGACATGGAAAAATCCTGGATATAGATTCTTGTAATTAAAGTTCCTGTACTATGCATCAAACTTCATAGCTGCATCAACAGTCTGTCACAGAAGTTTATGCATAGTAGTTCATGATTTTCACTGTTGTGAGCTGCATAGAGTCACTTGGGTGAGATGGGCAGTCATATAAATTGAATAATGAATAATAAATCTATTAGGACATTAACTACCACTTCTCCTGAAACTTCAAACAGTTCAGTGATATTTCCTCTGTACCTGGTGCAGCTACCTGGTGCTATTTGACAGCTGGTCAATTGCCTATCATACTTCATTTACTAGTATTGTTTGTTCCTTATTCTTGGTTTACAAATGGTTCTGTCATTCAATAATCCTGTTTCTAAAGAGTTCAGGATAGTTTTACTATCTTCTTTTAACTTCATTTGCCTCTATTAGATCTCTCCCATTATTACTGTTCAGCAGTCCTACCTTAGTTATACATTTTCCTGCAATATTTCTGATTTTTTTTTAAATCTCATTTTCTTTTTCCTGCTATTTTTTCTATTTGTTGATATTCTTGATTGAGATATTTTTCTATGTCATCTTTAAACATACATTAAATAAGTCACACAGCCACTTCATAAGTAGACGACATCCATATTTTAACATTCCTCCAGTTATACCATACCTTCTACACCTGCAAATCTGCACAACAAAGATCAGAATAGTTAAAGCAATGCATTTTCCAATGGCAATGTATAGCTGAAAAAACTGGACACTGAAAAGGAGCAAGTGAAATAAGATACATACCTTCAAATTATGGATTTGGAATACTGTGATCTACAAAAAAGAAGCAGTAAATTGCTCTTGGAAGAATAAAGAATGGCTACTCCACTGAAGTTATGTGAGCAGAAACTTGCATACTTTGGGCATGTGTTGCAAGTGGATGATGTTCTAGAATGGCTGGCAAGGTTAAGCAAAGTGGAAGAAAGGAAGACAGTGGATAAGGTAGTTGGATGAGATCAAGGTTATCAGTGGAATGTTCCTGTAAGAGGTGCCAATAGTCACTGAAGACAGATTGAGATGGAGAACATTTGCCTTTACAGACCCTAGAAGTTGGGTCTGACCTGAAGATATCTATCTAAGATATCTCGCTCTCACTCTAGCTCTATCTATCTATAGTATCTATCTTCTTCACTATTCTTCATTTTTACTTTGGGACAGTGCTAAGTAACTTTTTAATTATAACCAAGTGTTTATTATATTTTATATGTTTAATAATAAAAACAAAAACACTTCTATTACTGATAGCCTGCACCCTAAAATTGATTAGAAAACTCAGTGGGAACATGCTGCACAAGATTACAAAGCTAAGCAAAGGAACTAATTGTAAAGGCTACAAAGAATCATAATTACACAAGAAAGAAAATGGCCTGTAATTTTGTACTCTAGCCTATATTCAATTATAGATGGATAAAAGTTCTCTTTACCTTGGAATCTCTGTCAGTGGTGGTATAAGGCAGCCAAGATGAAAAGCCTTAGGGCATCCATCACAACAGATCAGCTCTCCACCATCCTTACAGATGGCACATTCATCATCGTTCTTCTGACCAGCAAATTGTGGAATGATTAAAACCAAAAGAACATTAAAATTTCAACTAATTTCTCTGCATATGACTGAGGATTTTTGCCATCTCATTAAATCACCAGACCTCTGTTAAAATTATCATTTCTCAGTCTACCTTGACCGGTAGCCCATTTTTAAACAAACAGATCTTTTACAAGACTGTGAACACTTGTTTAATAATAGGTCTACAGCCTTCCAGAAGATCAGTATACCAATATATATAAAGAACCTGTATGATGCCTGAATGGTGCTTTGCAAAACCTGAGTCAGATATTACAGAAATCAGGTATCCAGTTTTTTTGCAGACCAAGCCAAAATAGCCATGGAGGATAGTGCATATTGGCCATATGGCAGGGGCATCCTCAAACAGCCAATAGAAGCTCACTAGATGCCAGCTCCTGACAGCAGCATCATCAAGGTCATGAATAAGGTGTCATAACCTCATTCATACTCTAAGACTTGTGGGAGAAGATGGAGAACACTATTTTAAAACTGGAATAGCTAAGGACAAATTTAGGCTGCCTCCACCCTGAGCTGGAAGTGATAATGGGGCCTCCAAAGAGACTTGGCATTGTGGGGACACATCCTCTAAAAATAGTGAGATGTCTCCAAGCACAGTCAGTAGATCATACAGAAGAGCCCCAAATCTCTGCAAGCCTTGCTGATTACCTCTATTCAGGGACAATGTATAAAACCTGAAACTAACCAGCTGAGAAAGAGGGTAATCATTAGCATCTTTTATGAGAGCAGGTAAAACAAAATCTAATTTGTGCAGTTATTATAAGCTTTGAAATATTTGGGGAATTCCATCTTGATAGAAATGGCACAACATCTAAGAAGGAAAAAAAAGTATCCTGGCCAAACCTACTTCATCTTTGAAACTGACACCAATGTAAATAGCTAAGGAAACCTGGGACTTCCCACTCTGACAGATTCAGCAAGCTATATGTTGGGCATTTAGTAGAGATTAGGAGAAAGCTAATGAGCTAGACTACTAGTTATACAACACACAGGACAACTTCAATCATCCCCCCCTCCCCCCCGATCCTATCACAGGAAAGTCTATGGGAACTTTTGATTATATTCTAATTATATCATATACAGTAAAGGATTAGTCTTTCCAACAAAAATATATTTATAGGTTCTTTCTATGTTCTTGCCTCTTTTATTTAGCTCAGCAAGATACAGGTGATGATGCACTGGAATTTCACTGGGAAACAAGAGTTCAAGTCTCTGCTTAACCATGAAGTTCATGAACTGTCTCTATACTTCAGCCTAATCTATGTTCCAGAAATATTCTAAGGACAATACGGGATACTCTTATATAGGCCACCTGACTTCTTTCTGGAAGCATGACACATGCCTGATTAATAATAACAAAAAAAAACTATTGAGTGTAAGAGGGTATTTTCCATGATTTCTTTTTTTAAAAAGCATCATCCCATATTCCATAACCCCAAGAGGAAGAAAATTAGAAAGAACAGCTCAAGGATAAAACAAAACAAAAAGTGTAAAGAGCAAACAAGACAGCTGGCACAGGTATACAGTATTCCTTATTACCTCTGGGCAACTGCATTGACAATATGAAAAGGAATGGTGTGTCACCTAACCTGCTAATTTGCTTTTTGATCTCTACTCTGAAAATGAGGAGACAAACCAGGCTGCACAAATCAACCTGTTGACTATGGCTGCAATCCTAAACACTCTAAGCCCCATTGATCATAATGTGACTTATATCTGAGTAAAGTGCATAGGATTGCATTCAAATATGAGCTGATAGCAAGGCCCTGGAATGCAAAAATGTTGCACCTTAATTAAAAGTCCAAATGATGCTTCTTTCCAGCATCTTACCCTGAATTCCTAATTCTGTCAGACCATACAGAAACAGGATAATGGGGTCTCCAAAGAAACTTGGCAAATATTGATGTTCCACTGTCTTGAAGCAAATTAATAGTTAATACTAATTGATCCAGAGGGTAAAATGAGTGGCTGAAGTAGAGAGTTTCCATGAGAGAATTTTCATTAGCATCTTTTAAAGCAGGTGTGGACAATGTTAAAAACCACACTTAACATTTACTGGGTGCCCAAGTGCCACAATAGATGAAACAGTGATGCAAATTGTATGGGATTGTTTTCCACTTAGGTTTTGGACAAGGTTGGAGACTTTATTTTTTTTTAAATATGTCAGGCCTGTTGTAGGTTTACACTGTAGTTTCATGGGATCACTGACTGAAATGGTGAGAAATTGTGCCACAATTTTCAGCAATAGTGGATTGACAAGGCTCAGTGAGGCAACAAGGAAGGCATACATAGGCTGCATACATACAGGACCCACTGGTTGGTCCTTTGCTTTAAAATAATGCATCCAAATTCCACACAAACTTTCCCACAAGTATGAAAGATAAACTATGCAGCATTGAACACAAGCATCTCTCTCTTGTATGTGGAAGCTGCATGCAAATGTTTTTCTTGCTGTTGTTCAGCTATTCACATGTTGAATAGTCATGTCACATATTTACCATGGAGAGAAGTTGCTAGTTTTGCATCTTAATACAGATTGGCAGTTGCATGCAACCCTTGTTGAAAAGTACTTCACTGCTGGTGCTATATAAATAAGACTAATAGAGGCTCTTGGACTTACCCATCTGTCTCCATAGATGGAGACTCTATGTGGTCACCATATGCTTGCCATAGTGGGATCTGACTGTAAACAGAGAAGCCAGCCCAGCACAGATTTCTCTTTGCTACAGAAGAGCCCAAGAGAATAAGAATTGATTATAGTATATAGTCATACATATTCAGAAACCTGGAGTTCTTTGTTATTCATGCTGGGCTTCATTTCATAAGCTTTATTCTCTCCAAGTTCTTCCGATGTGCATGATGTATAACATTCATCCCCAACTTTAACAAATTTCTTAGCATTGCCTGGAAAAAGACATATTTAACATCTTTGGAACTGTGATACCTTTCCTATGAGACAGTTTAACCTTAACTGTAATTGGAATATTAAACCAAATTATCCTTTTGGTATAGATTTTACAACAAAAGAAGAAGCAAGTTTAACATAATGTGGAGAATATCATAGTGCCATTGTTTAAGTGGGATTAAAAGAGTAGAATGAAGGATTTTGAAACAGCTGTGTTCAATTCTTGACTGTTCAGTAGATTCATTATCTTTATACCTCAGTCCCCCATCTGCAAAAATGAGATCTACCCAAATAGCATTTAAAAATGTTATTATAATATAAATGATCAAGGTAATATTCCCTTGGAAGGTCTCCATCTTGACATTGGAATTCTCTATATTTCTGTTTGAAGAAGATAGGTTGTTTTTTTTTTTTTTAAAAAAGCACATTCTTAGCATTTAGAAAGTCCTTTAGATTGGCTGGGAGAATTGTAGAGAGATGGCTGATACCAATCATGTAGATAATATTGAATGATCTGATATTTCTTATTTGAATTTTATAATTAATCAGTTTTCTTACATGCAAAGAGTGGACTTGAGTGAAATCACCAAAAGGCAGCTTAGATTGACTGCTACGATGAAAAACTGATTCAGTAAAAGTTGCTGAATAGCCTTTGCATGTCATTCTTTTTCTACCTAATTCAGTGTATAGGGCCCTTGGCCAGACAAAAAATTTATATGCTGAGCAATACCTTAGCCATTCAGAATTCTAAATAATAAGAATTATTATTGGGATCATATCTGAGAGAGCAGTACATCAAGGCATAGTATAAGAATAATGTTGGATAGATTAGGTCAGAGACTGGCAACCAAAGACTTCTAAAGTTAAATTTGAAAACTTGATCAAGCTCTTGTGACATTTCAGTACTCTTATATGATATTGACAAGACTGCAGGCAAGGATGTCAAAATATTGTGAAATTTCAGTGTTCCTTTGTGAGATCTCAGGGAGACATTCCAAAACTCATGAGATATGATAATAAAACAAGATTGTAAAATGATTTTAAATTTAATTTTGAGAGGGGTAGGTCAATTCACAGCAGTAGCTGAACAGTTTGGATTAGGGTATTCAACAAGCATAGCAAAGTGGTAAACTTACCATTTGGAAGTGGGTAATGTTGTACCTCAGCATTCTCTAATTTCCTCACAGCTTTTGCTTTAGGAAAGGACCCTGTTGATTTATAAGACAGCTTGCAATACTGAAAGCAGAAAGTGCCCCCCCCTTTTTTTTCTTTTGCAAAATGCACAATAACAATAAATCCCATTTAATTTATTAGGAAAATATTAAGAACTAAGTTTTTCTTGGAAGCTTGTGAATCATTAGCATAGAAAAGAAACTGAAATGAAATGTTGAACTCCCACTGCATGTTGCCTTTAGTTTTATAAAAGGAGAAAAATGCAGTATGATGACATTACAATGGATTCCTCTTCTGAGGTGTTTACGTTTTTTGGAGGGGAGGAGGTTTCCTTTATTTTTTAAACTCATTCTTTTTCATATTTTAGTTAAACTGCAATATCCCACAGGATACAGTAAAACCACAATAAATAATTCTATACCAAGGTGCAGATCAGTTTTTCCTGAAGGCTGAGTTAATTGCAGAGGGTCTTTTTCCTCTGTCATCTTTCTCTTTCCTTGGGATTTGTGCTGAGTCACCACCTTAGGACTGATTGCAAGTTTCTTTGCCCTGCGATGCCTGCTGAAATCCATATCTGAAAACAAGGAAAATACTGAGGCTGAGTGGGATTCTTGCCCACAATTGTGGAAATTTGTCTCCAACAATAGAAGACAATACTTCCTGAGCAGGGAAAGATACATGCCACAAGATATATCTTCTAGATGTGCTACTATCATTAACCCCCATTTCCATCATTATATCAAATGGCTGGCTTGAAATTAAACTTGAATCTTAGCTCATACTGAAATCACTTTGACATGTAAGTCATGTCCTAAGTTCACTAATTTTAGTAGAAACCATATTCAACCAATTAGATAAAACCCAGATTACTCCCATAATTTCCAGTCTTTATACTACCTATCATTTGCAGCTTCTTACTATCTCCTGTACCTTTCATATGTAAGGCCATGATGGCAACATCTTATACCTTTAGGAAAGCTGCTCCAAATGGACTGGAGCTTGGAATACCTCTCCAGGTTGTACTCTTTGAAAAGGACCATCCAGAAATCTTTGATGGAAGATAAATCCTGATTCAGCAGCCATGTCAACATGGTGTAAAAGGCCTTGTGGCAACCTTCAGTTTCCTTCAGGTGGAGAGTGTCCTCCAAGAAAAAAAGAAAAAAAAAAGGCAAAATTAGCCTAATTCCCAAATATATCTTACTCTTTTAAAACGCTTAGCATACATATTATTTGGTGTAGTCCATCTTCTCGAGAAGTCGCTAATTAGGCATGCTAACAGTCTCAACATTTGAATACTCTATTTTAGAAACAAGGGATGAGGAGAAATAATTTTAATGCAATTTATTTAATTTGCACATCTCAAACTAAGACACAAAGTAAAGTTTTGATATTTGGTCCTTTCTGAATTTTGCAATATAATTTAAAGCTGCATCTTAAAGTGTATACATATATTTTAGGATGACTTCTACCTTAAAATATTAATATTAGATGATATCATGTACAAAAAGAGACTTTGTATACAGAAAATTCCATGCAAAAGGAATGTTTATTGGGGAGAAAACTATAATAATGTAATGTAATATAATGTAATACAATGCAATCCATGCAATGCAATATAATATAATCAGAATATATACAAATTTAAGCAGTCATTTGTAATATAATATAGAGAAAGATAAAATGAAAGTTATATTGGAAAAAATAGTAACTGAGCAAAATTGAATGTAAGCTATTTGGAACTATAAGTAGTCTTGAAAGTGCTTTAGAAATTGAAGCAAAATGCTAATTTTGTATGCTAAAAGAGTGGGGAAAAGTCACTAGTGCCCCCAGATTGCTCATTCCCTGAACTATGGCCTTGAGACAGGCATTCTGTTGTAGCCATTTGCAGTGATTTTTAAACTATATCCATGATTTTTGGTATATAAATTGGGAGACAAAACTTTCCATTCATACTTTGATACTAAAAGTTGAGACTCAGGATATATAGCTGCAGACTCTGATGATTTTCACCATAACTGCCCAAATAAAAGTTTACACAAACAAAATAGTCTTAATGTCTCAAAAACATTGTATTTCAATAATTTGCACAGAATGAAAGAGAAAATACAGTCATAAAAAATAAAACCCCCAAAACTAAAAAGTGAGAGATAGATCAGCAAAACTGTGGCTGAACATGAATGATACATAATACTGTATAAAATAAGAGAGCAAATATGCAAATTATTATAGTACACAAATTAAATGGATAGCTTAAAACAAACTGAGACATTCCAATACTACATACAGAAGAGCTATATAGTACTCAGTATTATTTTTTTCCTCTCTCACCTTGAACATCTCTTCAGTGACAACTTCATGATCAGCAAGCCCATGAAGTAATGGGAAGACATCATCCACTGCCATTGAAATCTCTGTGCGATAAATCTTCAGTAATTTTCTCAAATCTCCTTCTCCTAATGATCTATTAGAATTGAACATCCTGGGACAGAAAGATATGTACAGAATGAGTAAACTAATCTTCCAAGTTTATTTTTGGATCAACTTTGTATGAACCAAGCCTTATTAAAAATGCCAGAAGGTAATTTAAACCCCAGTTCTAAGATAAGAGGGCCATCAGTTATTTTATGAACCTTACTGCCAGCCTAGCTGGCTTTGGAACATCAGACATGCAAACATAGTTTGCAAAAAAAATGATACCTGTGCCTAAAATTGCTCTTTTCCTATGACTCCTTGGTTTTTTTTTTCTTCATTTTTTTTCAATATTTCTAAGCATCCAGCTTTGACAGGCTTAGCCAGGCTGTCCTAACAACCAAAAGACACAGCATTGTTGGTCTCACCTCCTAAATGGTAATCAACACAGTATCTGCTTTCTACAGTTCCTTGTGCTCTTTATATTGCTCCATCTGGGGAGTAAGAATAGATGGGGAGGGAGGAGGCAGTGTATGAAACAACAGCAACAAAAAATTATTGAAGGAACCAACAGAAACTCAGTGATAACCCTCTGATGAATCTGGGAAATAAAAGCTCTCTCCAGCTAAGCCTATTTAGACTGCCTTATTATCTGAATACTGTGTTTCTTTCACAGTGTTTCACTCCACCCTGTGTCATCTGCACACACTGTGTATTACCTTCCTTGACTGGAAAATGAGCAGGTTGTACTGTGTATGGGGAAGTGCTGTCCCCCCTCCTGCCCTTACAGTTCTGATAAGGCTCATAACTTGCATGAGAGGCTTGGCAATGTTTATGTCGCAAAGATAGGATTGTAATCGGGAATATAATTGTGTTAAGCTCCTATATTCATGCTATTTGAGAAGGTATTGATATGATTTAATTAAAAAATACAAAAAATATATTGGTGGGGTGACCAAGGAGGGCAGGTCAAGAGCAGACAGAGCCTAGGGCAGCCTTCTTTACTCCATGATTTCCATACTAAGTTTGAATTCTAGAGTTGTAGTCCTCATACATTCGAAGGGCACCAGACTAAGGAAAGTCAGCGTAGAGAGAATCTGGCATTGCAATATAATTGCAATATAATTAATTAGACTGCCTAAGAGTATTCACAATAGAATCTAGTGGTTTATATGCAGAATGAGGATGCAGCTTGTCAGTATACAGTTAGATGTTGGCAAATGATCAGCAGCAGCTGGAGATTTCAGTATCATTTTAGTTCCCAATTAAAAGTTTGTGATTGAATGTGATGCCTTTACAGAGAACTAAATCCCTGTCTCTTTGGCAGCTTTTCAGCATCAAATGATCCTTTATTTCAACTGACTTGGGGAAAATGTTTTGCTCAAGGAAGAAAGGAAGGAAAAGCTAAGTTTTTTCAGATCTTTTCTACATTATTTTAAGTAATGTTGTTTAAGTTGTTTGTTAATAATAAAATCCCAGTATGAACTGTGCATTGACTCATCTTTCAGGACTTCACTGGACTTCCTAGAATTCTTTTAGAAAACCTAACAGTATTCTGTTTTTTCACTTCCTTCATTAAAATCAGGGTGACAGCTAAAAGCTGTGGGTAGTGTTCTTTTATATGCTAATTCTGTGAGAATTTGTTCAGAAACTGCAGTTCATGCAAAGTAAATATACCACTACTACCAGGTATGTAAGTGGTTTCATAGCACTTCAAATTATTCTTGAAAAAAATTGTGGACTTTCCATGATATTTAATCATTATATCTTCACTAAAATGAAGCTAGGAAAAGCCCAGTTATGATCACCTAAGAAGTAAGATAAAAGTATGCAACTCAAATCATCCTGAGGATTGCTGTTTTATTTTTTCAGACTCACAAAGGGCCATCCTGCTTTAGAAAAACTAACTTGGATAACTTTTTTTAACAGTGAGTTGCTTTTAACCTATTCTCTAGTAATCCTTTGTTATCTAATTCCCCATTTACCACATTTTTGTAAATTTATTAGCTTTTCTCTCACTCCACTTTGTAATACTCACAGATGTTCTTTTTCTTTTGGACCAGATAGCTCATGTAATAGACATGGTCTATATCACTTCTTTTGCCTAAACTACATCATTCTCCTCTCTCTTGCTAGAATATTTGCAGTATTTTTAACACACGTGAGATGATATAAAGCATGGATAGCTGGCTGCGTATCCCAGCTATTGAAAAACTTGTTCACTTTTTCACACCTCTAAATCCAAGAAAGCAAGAAAAAATGCACTCATAGTGGCCAAGGTAATGATCCACCACACCTCCACTTTTAGAGTTGAACATACTTATATGAGATTTTTATTGTGGCACTGTACCTCACCCAGATTCATTCATGAAGTGGGGAGTGTTAGAAACAGATTTATGTATTAGGACTTCCAGCTGAAATTGCCAAGTAGCACTGGGACAGACTCTTATCAGAAATCCCGGAGGGCTGTTGCCAGTTAAGGATTGAATTCATTCATCGTGCTTAATTGTTGCTCATTTGATTCGTGCAATTTCAGCCACTATTTATAAACCATGATTAATGACTCAATGCTACACATGAATTGAACATGAACCAACCTATACTGCATTTCAGTCCCCATAATCATGATAGCATGTGGTGAATTATGGGTCTTGTAATGCAACATACTAAGATGGGAGAACTCTTATAGACAATGCTGAGGTAGAATGATCAATAGTCTGACTAAAGACAAGGCAATTTTGTATGATGGATTTGGAAAAATGGTTGAGCCAGATGGTCACATAAACATGAGGAAAGGTTACAAATGAGGGCTTGGAATCCTTCTGGATGAGCAAAATCAAACCCCACCCCATTCATTTTTGCATAGGAAAGTGCCCCTAACAAATTTTTAACCTGTTTCAAAAAATTGTTTCAGCATTTAGTCCATCTTATTCCTATAGTTCAAAACAAGCTGATTAACAATTGTGTTGCTCATCAAAATAAAGCTTTTCGTCAGTTTCTAGGAATTCTGGGTTACCAAAGAACTAGAGGAATAAAAGTTTGAAAATACTGTCACCCATCACTGCCAAATGACGTGTATAGATTGCATTATAATTAAAGATGGTATATTGACAATTGCAAACAACCTAGATGGGATATTTTAGGCAAGCCCTACACTTTATTCTCCCTATGGGACCCAGTATGCCTGCTGACCTCTTCTTTAGTGACCACCAGGCTCCATTATTTTGTTATTCTTTAATAAAGCTAAATGATGAACTGGCATGTTACAAATATAGTACCACCCTCAAGCTTATTTCCAAAACTGCCACATTAAATGAGAGGCTGCAACCTAGTGCTGTGAAGTATGCATGTGTACCCAGAAAAAAACTAAAAGCAAACTAAGGTAGCAGAGTATCCCAAGAGGCTAAAGGGAGTGATGGTGATGGTGGGAAGCAATCTCATAGTCATTTTCTAAGAGTACTTGTAGTATATTCTCAGAATTACAAATATGCCAACTGGTCCAAGAAAGTTAGCAACTTTATTCAATAATGTGAACATACTATGTGACAGGGTATATTAGAGACTGCTTTGTCAGGTATGATTCTACCCATTCAGTCCAAGCATTGAATGTCTGCTGATTCCACTCCCATGTAAGGACAAAGACGTTGCACTAAGAGGCAGGCCTTCTCAGTAGTTGACTCAACATTATGGAAAAGGGTCCCCTAAAGGGTATGATTGGCTCCCACCAAACCATTGTTTCAATGGGCTTTAGACATCAATTATTATTCTTCAGTGCAACAGCAGGTTAGAGAGTTTTATGTCACAGGCATTGCTTCTCTTCTTCCAGGGTGCATGGTGAGTGTTTTCTATAATATCAGATCTAAAACAGGAAACAGCAGCAGTCATGGATGTTTATTCACATGACAGAATCGGCACTAGAAACAGATGTGCAAGTTACAAATCAAAACAACATAAGGAAAAATTGCAGAGGTTTGAGAAAGAGTAAAATTGTGCTCAACCTCTGGTTTCAGCTTGAAAATTTTTGACAAACAGAACAGATCCGCCTCCCAATTAAACTTAGATCAGACAGATGCTGACCCTGTTAAAAGATTCATAAAGGCCACAAAGCTTTAACATGTTGATGGAAAGCATAGCAGACATTTAGAACGCTGCTTTTAAGCAATTTTATTCTTGGCCAGAAAAAAACTGCACCCAGCTTATAACAAATTAACAATTAAAACTAATTGTTAATCAAGAGCCTTCTAATATTTTGTATGAATAACTGTCTTGGTCATGCAAGCTGATCATTGTACTGCTCGAGTAAGCTGAATACAAAGCCAACATACTGAATCACCTCACTTCAGGTGTAAAATGTACATATAAATGAATTAACATAGGAGGTACACATTTCCCATTCTCAAGATTTCAGTTCTCCCAGTTTCCATTATTATTCTAATTTTTTTATACTACATCCTATACAAAAGCATCTCAAATTATTCATTTTATATATTCCTTATTCTTCAAGACTTTCAAAGAAAAAATAAGACCTAGGCCTCATTTCCCCCATTTACTAAGCTTCTCAACCAAGTCTAATTTTCTGTTTTCTTCTTTATAATGCCAGAATCTGAGATCATAAGGTGAATGGTGGGAAATTCAAGAAGCTATTCCACATAACAGAGCACTTAATTTAACCATACAAATTCATTTTTACAAAATAAGCCACTTTTTAAGATGACCTTAAAGGAGAATTTGAAAAATTCTTGAGCATCAGAATATGAGTACAGTATTTAGAAGTTATATGGCTCTAAATACCAGAATTTAGAGTCAAGCTTGATTCCTGAGGACTACATATAGTTTTCTTGGCAGAAGCTGTTTGCCATTGCCATCTTCCAGGATATATCATGCCTCTGAATACCAGTATCTAGGGAACAACTGTAATAGGAGTTATTGCCAACGTGCAATTATTTGTAGGCTTCCCAGAGGCATTCAGTTGACCAGTACACTTAATTCCAACAATGCTTTTCTTATTATTTGTTGGTCTTTTAGAATCCAAATTGATATTTTCCTTACAAAACAATTACATATTTAAAATCCATTTTTGACTGTTTTAATCATATATTTACTTGTACTGTGTGTACTACGTATTTCAGTGGTCATGTAGTTATAGGGGAGTACATGAAAAATCTATATACTACTAAAACTCTTGTGTCTGTTTGTAACCTTCAATTGGGTGAAAGAGTGCATCATAGGGCAACAATGTTTGAACCAAGATACCTCAAATGGGCTTACAGAATGCGTCCAAAATCCGGGACCCAAAATCCGGGACCATATTCAATCTGGGATTGAAATTTGTCAAAGCTGTGGTCACTTCAATGCCGCTGATTCAGCACTACCACACTACCATGGTGTGCTGCGGTCACATGATCATCATTTCCAGCGCTGACAGCTTCCCACAATTCAGTGGGGAAGCCAGCAGGAAGTCTAAACTCGATCGGGATTGCTGATGCTCTCTGCCAGCTTCCAACAAGTAAAGTCAGTGGGGAAGCCAGCAGGAAGTTGCAGGTCCAAGGCCAGCAGGCAGGTAAATGGCTGCTGCCGGGTGGGGGAGGGTGTGTGAGAGGTGCAGCAAGGGTTGGGGAAGGCTCGCGGGGGGGTGCAGGAGAGGCATGGCATGGATCAGGGAGGATGTGTGAGGGTGGCCAAGAGGTGCAGTGAGGATCAGGGAAGGTGTGCGAGGGGGGAAAAACAGGTCAGAGAAGGTGTGCGATGTGGGTCGAGGGTGGTGCATGGGGGTGCGATGTGGGTTGGGGGTGCAGTGTGGGTTGGGGGTGCGAGAGTGGCCAGCGCGAGGAACTGGGGAAGGGTGTGCAGGTAGGGGAAACTTACCAAGAAGGAAGGAAGGAAAGAGGAGGGAGGGGGAGAAAAAAGGAAGATTTCAGATGCTCCCTGTCAGCTTCCCACAAGGAAAGTCAATAGGGAAGCCAGCAGGAAGTTGGAAGACACTCCTGCTCCCACTGCTTTTTTGCCCACCCGTGGTCATTCTGTTTTTGTTTAGGTAAGGAAATATCTCTGAAATAATGACCCAACAGGTCACAGGTTATCTAGTACAATGCTAAGAATATAGGAAAAAAAACTTTTAGATGTGAAATGAAATAAAAATATGTATCTAGCTACTTTATGCAGAATTACAAGTTAAAGATTTAAAACTATTTAAAAATTTTAAATCTTTAAAGATTCAACAACTTATTTACAATTCAGTTGGCATGACTAAGTAGCTAGGTATTTCTGTTGTTGCAAACATCACAGTGCACTCATTTAAAATTATCAGTCTATGAGACTTTTTTTGTTAAATCTTTAGGCAAGTTCACCTAATTTTATCATATTGTGTATTACACATCTTCACATCTTACTTTCAACTATAGATTCTACTTTTCCACATAATTTATTACCACCAAGATATTTAATTGCTAAGAATTGTCACCAGCACACTGATATCTTAAGCCATTGTTTTAAATTCCTCTTTTCTCCCAAAAAGTTATCCAGTTATCTACTAGAACTAGTTTGCCAGAGTATAGGGGTCTCTTAGCAACTATCTATTAGGTTAAGTAAGCAAACCCATTTCTTTGTCTACAAATACCTAGACCTGAGATTCAAAACCATTTGAATCTCAGTGTATTAACTGCAAGTTATATATACTACATCTCTTAGGGCCAGCCAGGTATTACTGGTTTTTTTACCCCTAGAAAACAACAGCACTTTCTGAATCACAGGGACCAATTACTGGTTTTCCTTAAGGGACACTGTTTCAGTTGTCATGGTTTGAGTTTGCAGTTTATTGTGATCCTCAATATTCCAATGTTACACAAAGAACATGGATTATGCTCCTTTCAGTTGCCATTTCTTTAGCTACTTATGTTAATGAATTGGATATGGTCTTCCAGTCTCCAGAGATGCAGAGCTGGAATGGGGAACACATTATTTAATTTGCTCATCATTTTTTCTTTCTCAGACCTCCATACTACATTTTCAGCAAAAGGTTTTTAGTATGCCCAGTCTGATTTGAATGCTGTACATAATGGAGAAAGCATCATCTTCCTAACCAGTTCATTGAAGTGATTACATTATTCTCATAGAATGTAACCTATTCACATCTGCTTGTTTTTTTTAAGCTTATAAGCACTGGATCTTCTGACCTCCTTTGCTAATGTTATAGCTTTTTCATAACGAATACTTTCTCCTTGTGAATATATTGCTATAAACCTAAATGACTGGCATCTTATCCTTTTCCATGGACTATTGTTACCAATGGTTTGGTGTTGCTGTTGTACAATAATGGAGCCCAACATAATTATCTACACCAACTCCCAAATAATCTGGGTACTTTAAGATCTCCTGTAAGTCTGTAACTCTCTTCTCCAGAGAGTTCAGATACCGAGCTAGCAGTTCTTATATTTGTCAAAAGTCTCATAGAATCCTGGTCTGACTTTTCTGATATTCATACGTAGATGGTGACTTTCGGAGGGAACTGACTCATTGTAAGTGGTTGAAGTTGCTGTCCCAGTAACCCAGCAAGAAGACAGACGCTTTCTTTTTGCTTTATCTGAAAAACCTCCAATTCCTTTGTTGTGTTCAAGACAGGAGTCATCTTTATTCTTAACATCTTCAACTGGCTGTTCATCCCTATTTGAAGTTATTTCTTCATGCTTACAAGCTTCCTTCTCTTCTTCTGCAATCTTCCTGAAATGCTCTAATGACTCAACCTTTCTTCGTCTTTCTATTGTTTCCATTTGTTTCTTGTCCATGAAGTCCTCAAAGTACATTTTTCTTTCATTCCTCTGATCTTCAAGGAATTTCCATTCAGTATCTGTCATCTTCACACCACTATACTGCTCCAATTTCTCTCGTGTAACAGTATCTGTACAAAATATATCAAAAAGTTGTTCTGAACTTTTGTTGAAGTCATCTGCTTTCTGGGTAAACAGCTCATTTTTTCTTCGCTTTCTGGATTGGTATAATTTTGAGAATTCTTCATACACTTTTAAAATATGCTTCTTTATGCTCTGTGTTGCTATGGTATATAGATTGCAAAACAACCAATGTTCCTGCAAAAGTTCAGCAAGCAACTGGGCAGCATCTTCTTTGGATCGTTGTGCCTGGCCAGCTCTTTTGGGATGCAACAAATACAACATGTTTTGAATGACATCCTTCTTCGTAGGCAGAATTCCTTGTGCAAACTCAGATGACTCCACATAATCAACAGTTCCCAGAGTCTTTTTCGCTTTTATTTTATCCAAAGCTGCCATCATTCCTGTTTAATGCCACGCTATATCAAAAGCTGAAAAAGAAGGGAGATGTTAGCTGAAATAAAATTAGACACCAACAGTGAAAATGAGAAGTTTAATTCAAAAGCTAAAAAAACGCTATATAGGTAGTCCTCACTTAACAACCCTAATTGGGACCAGCAACTCCACTGCCAAGCAAAGCAGTCACTAAATAGGAAAACATGTGACCCTGACTGTTCTGACTGGAAAGAGACAAGACTATTCAGTTTCACACCTTTGGTTTTTGTTTGCCTCCCCCACCCTTTGGAATGCGCAAGTGCCTTACTGCAGAAAGCAATGCAATCTGCCAGCAGCCCAGGGCTAGGAGCCACAGGCGTGCTATGCAAACAGCTTACAGTATTCTCTTGAAATCCTCTCCAATCTCTCTGCTCTGTGAGGGGGAGGGAGAAAAGCAAGCAATTTCTACAGACAATCTCTCCTTTGCCTGACCCTTTCCTGCTGCTAGTGCAATCGCACTGCTTTTGATGTGTAGAAGAGCAAACAGCTTACTCTCTTGAAATCCCTTCCTCTCCAATCTCTCTGCTCTGCGGGGAGGGGGAAAGGACCAGGCAAAGGAGAGAGTGCCTACAGAAATTGCTTGCCTTTTTTTGCCCCCCCTTGCAGAGTGGAGATATTGGAGAGGAAGAGATTTCAAGAGAGTACGAAAGCTGTTTGCATTGTGTGCCTGTGGCTCCAAACCCTGGGTTGCCAGCACAATTGCATTGCTTTAGATGTGTAGAAGAGCAAACAGCTTACTCTCTTGCAATCCTTTCCTCTCCAATCTCTCTGCTCTGCAAGGGGGGAAAAAAGAAAAAAAAACACAGGTCAGGCACAGGACATGTACTGACTGGAATGGTGATCACATGACTGAGGGATGCTGCGAAGGTCATAAATTGACTGCAAAGTTATTTTTTCAGGACTATCCTAATGGTTGCCGGTAAGCAAGGACTACTTGTTTCTGAAATATAAACAATTCAATCTATTATAATTATTAACCTTTAAAATAAGTAAGCTATCTGGAAAATAAAACTGTTTCATTAAATTGAATAAAACATTAGCACAGTATTTTATTTCATTAGCTGTATTTTCAATTACCTCTACTGACAGAGATAACTATTTTCCTAATGCAATTAATACACATTTATAAAACAATGTTTATGCAACAAATATACACCCTAAAAGACAAATGAAAGCAATGAATCCATGTCATTGTCACCTCCTGGTTAAATTACCACATTATGTTCTACAGGGGCTGCCTTTTAAAACTACTTAGAAGCTACAGTTGGACCAAAATGCAGCAGTCTACTTGTTTGCAGGTGATAGCTATTTTTCATATACAATACTGGGCTCTGCACTGATTACCAATAGGCTTCCAGGCACAATTCAAAGTGAATTAAAGCCCAACATAGCTTAGAATCCAATCAGATTTGGGAGGCTGGGCATGTTCCCATCACTTAAGCAGTGTCATCTGGCAGGACACAGGAGATACACCTTCTCTGCCTTCATGCCTAAGATTTACATGGCCCTGACCCTACCTGGTTTTTGGAAGGCTCTTAAGACTTCACTTTTCCCCTAGGCACTGGGCCTGGAGGTTTTATTATCATCTTGACTATTTTTAAACTGTTTTTGATTCAATGAAGTTGCCTCTGTGTTATTATATTGTAATGTTTTGGGGTTATTTACTGTCTTTATTTGTGTACACTGCCCTGATTCACATGGCGATTAGATGGCTATACAAATTGCTTAAATAAATAAATAAAGTCAGGATCATCTGCTTCAAGTAGCTTCTACCTATTCAGAGTATGTACCTCTGTTTGGATTACTGAAGGTTCCTTTCCCATATAAAATCTAGGGAAGAATAAGGACATCTTTTTCCTCAGCAATGGCAACCACCATGTGGAATGCCATCCCACCAGAAATCTCAACGGCTCCATTATTCTTGTCCTTTAGAAATGCCTTAAAAACTGATCTATTCAGAAAAGCATTTATTTAAGATCTCTTGTAGGCATACCTTATCTATTTATCTATCTACTAAAACTCTCATTGTGCTTATCTTTTTGTACCCTCAAGTTAGCTCAAACAGTGCATTATACCACAATAATTTTTGAATCAAGGTACCTAAAATCTGCTAATTTAAAGAATGCGTAAAAAATCCAGGACCCATCAATCCCCTGGAATTGAAATTTCCATGATGTTCAGACCAGTTTTATTAGCAAGTTATGGACGTTGCAGTGTCCTCACGATCATGGGATTGTGATTTCTGACACTCCCTGCCAGCTTCCCACAAGCAAAGTGCTGCCCTGGATACAATGCACCTTTCTTAGATATGAAAAAAGCAGAAAGAGTATTCCAGAATGGAAACAGCTACATAAAGACATGGAAGACTAATCAGCACTCCCACATACAATGTTTGATTTCTATTCAATCATGCAAAAAGCCTTCAAAATACAAACTTTTAAGATGCACAATTAGATTATAGTTGCATAATTCCCAGCAGCCTGCAAAATTTTAAGAAGTTGCATGTCTGTAGAGCAGGTGGCCAAAAAAACCTAAGACAACAGGAGGGGTGGAAGAACTGTAATGGACAAATAGGATAATAAGTGTATTAGTCTTTTGGGTGTCTCAAAACCCTTGGCTGTTTTCACTGCAAGATATAAACAACAACTATTATATTATTATTATTAATTAAACTTGTATGCCGCCCGACTTTCAACAGCTGCCCTCCTGGAACCTTTCCAAAACAGGTTAGACAACCCAACCAACTACCTAAATCTACACTGCCGTCAGCAAACTCTAGGAGAATACCTATACTGTATGTCCTTCATTGCTCGCTGGGATGTCAGTGACTGAGCGCTGCCCTCCCAAACGGAGAAGGGGAAACGTCTTTCCGTTTGGCAGTTCCCTGTCGTTATTCCACTTCTGGCTTTTCCCAAACGAAGATGCTACGTAGAAAAGCAAAGAGCCGCAGCAGGACCCATAAGGAACTGGGGGTGGAGCGGCCTCCTCGTCTCTGCTCACTCCCATACACCAAGCCATTTGACGCCCAGGCTCCATTTCCCTGGTAGGCCAGCCAGAACGGAGCCCAGTCCGGTGAACTCTAATCCCGCCTTTCCCCTCATCCCTCCCCTCCCGTTTCAGATTACCAGAGCCAGCAAAAAAGGTAAGGCGTCACTTACAATCCCACGCTCCGCGCGCCGCCATTTTAGTGAAACCGCGCGAGAGCTCAATACAGTCAGCGAGCCCACCTCCGCCATGTTGAAGAAGGGCATCGTTATAGCATCCTTTCTGTGAGAATTGTTCCCATCTCAGCGACTCTATGGTCTAAACAGGCTTTTATGAGCGGTTGATGAAACAGCATTAACCTACCAGGTATCCCCAGCGTGTTTCGTTTTGGCTAGTCAGCGGAGACGAAACGTGGGCGAGGGCCTATCAAGTTTTGGAGATCCTGATAGGCCCACATTTTTCCTAGTGGGAAAAAGAACCGAATGAATAACAACACAAATATAAAACAACCGCCATCTAGTAAGGCGAGCCAGTAAACGAAACCGCGGTTAAAAAGAAGAAGGGGTCTCGAATGGGGCGGGGGGGAGTAGATTATTCAAAGCTGGATGGTACTGTCCTCATCGACGAAAGAATTGGCCGGCTCGCAGAAACAGGGAGGCTCTCAGCCAATTGCCGTTCGGTGGGGAGAAACTCGATTGGTCCTCGCAAGGGGACCTGCCTGAATTGCCGTTAATCGAAAACCTTATTTTAGGCGGAAGCTGAAGCAACACCAGTACCAGATTCGAACATTGGCTAATCAGCAATTCCCTGAGACCACCATCACCGGGCCAACGAGGGCGGGACGAGAGTAAGTGCCCACCGTTCTTTCTATTATACGTCAGTGCTCAGCGCTTTTCTCTCGCGGCGTGTCATGTCTAATTTGTCAGTGGGGGGAGCTGCAGCCAATCGCTTACGGCTGAGTTGAAGGGCGTGGACCGGTTCGCATCCCGAGTATTTGCCTCAGTAACCGATGGCTACTCGGTGAACTTTGTGTAACGACTGTCTCGCTTAGTAGAAGTCTTAGATATTTAACTCCGGCGAGAAGCTCACCTGGTTGTGCGATTGACGGCTTCCTTATTTTTCTTTGTCTCCAGGCTGTTGTACTCAGTGATGTGCTGTGTTCTTTTCTAGAGGGAAATTCTCTTCAGCTTTTGATATCGTGTCATCGTTTTGTTTGGTGCAAATTTACCTGTATTAGTTATCAGATTAACTAAAATTTTAAAAGCTAACCTTGGAATGGATTTATTTTAATTTAATATTATAAGATTATTAACATTGCTATTTTAATGTTTAATATTAATATAGTGCTATTCAAATAATGTACTCAAGGAATGAGAGGCTATGAGTCTTCTCCCAGAGGGCTTGCAGTCTAAAAACAGAAGGGAGATGGAGATTAAGAGAAAAAACATCAAATTATTTTAATTAAAGATACTTAAATTGAATTACAACAATAATGGAACTGGGGTATTGTGTCAAATACTTAATGGAAAAAATATCTTTGAATACACAATGGTAAACATATTTGAGTCAGCTAATTGAGTTTTGACTGTTGAAAGTCTTAACTGCAGAGATCCAGCTCTTTCCTAGTTTACCCCTTTATCCTTGTTGTGTTTATAATTACAAGTTATTTGGGTATTAAGAAAAGTCTAGCATATCAGTAGGGCACTAAACTCAGATATACTATATAGACACTAATAATTGTGTTTCTGATGCTTGTTTATTGATAGACTCATATTACATCCCACTCAGTCACTTAGGAAGAATCCTTTTCCAAGGCTCTTTACCCATAGAAGGATGATAAATATCAGTGATGCTCTTAAGGAGCAACTGTTTAGTGACAGTGATTGGAAAGAAGCATGGATAAAGGTGGGAAAGTTGAAAACTGGACAGATTGGGTCGAGCAAGTTGGGAAGGAAGAATGGTATAGTAAGTTGCTTTGCTGCCAGTATTATCAGGTATATGAGAATTAAGGTTCTCTGTATGTAATACAATTAATTGTTTAATCTTGTTCAGTGCTGCACTAACAATGTCAACTGGGGAGTCCTTGGGGTTCTCTGAGCTTGTCAACTGGTTCTAGTAAGGGAACACAAGTTCCTTTCCTACAAAGCTAAAATGTTAGGAAGATTCCCTATGTCAGTACAGATATTGTTGAACTGTAACTTTCAAAAGCATGACCAGTGTTGAGGGATGCTGGGAGTTATACTTTAGTTATATGTGGAGAGCCACGAGTTTCCCACCTCTTTAAGTTCATGAATGGCATTCACTGCCATAAGATTTGTCAATGGCTACCAAATTAAATGTCTTTAAAAGAGGGTTAGAGAAAATTGAGAGTGACGAAATGATTGGTTTCTAATCTTTATAATAACTCTACCTTCTAAATTAGAGAGAGAGAGCTTGAAAAATAGAAGAGAGCCTTATTTATTCTTACACCTTACTTGCATGGTTCACAAAAACATTTGGTTCGCCACTGTGGGAAATAGATTGCTGGATTCAAAAGGATTTTGAACAGCTTGTATATACAAGTTAATACCTAGGTGGAAAGCTAAAAGTTTTCTTTCTGATTCTGGTGCAGCTTGCTATGCACAGCTTCCCTACTGATGGATTCTTCTCATTGTTGCAAACTCAGGCCTTGGTATATAGATCCCATCCCATAATCTTTCAACTGTTTACACAAACCCAGAAGATTCACTGTGGGTTCACTTAACCCAATACTGGCTCTATTTTGTCATACAACAGTTATTTGTAGCCCTCTGTGAAAACAGTAGTGATGCCAAGGATTTCACCTTACCTCTCTGCTCTGAGAGCATAAGGGAATGTGGATTGTATATATCCACCTTCTATATATTGCATATATCCAGCTTCTATATATTCCTTCTTGCAACTATTTAGCTCCAGGACCTGAATAAACGAATGCACTATTTATAGTCACTTAAAGTATGAAGGTCCATGAGTTCAATTCCTGGGAAAGGATTTGAAATCCTTAGAATAACATCTGGCTATCCATGTCTGAGCAGTGCCAATAAGGATGAAATCAGTCATGTGGTGCCTCCTGGTGGTCAATTTAACCTAGGATGTTGGGGACACAAACGTTTTGAGAATGAACTCTGGCAATTTTAGCTATCTTTCTTATTGCCTTTCTGACAGCAAGGTTATAAAAAGATTATGCCAACCCAATTATATATTATAAAACATTTTTAAATATGAAACCAAGTTATTTTAAAACATGCCACTATAATAGTTTTCAATTAGAATGGCCAAAAGAAAAGTGGCAGTTTAAATTAGATCTTGCTTATAACCAGCAATAAATCCTAGTTTATTGCACATGACGTGGATGAGATGAATAGGTCTGATTTCAACTAACATACAGATTTTGGGATGTAAAACTACAGTATAGAAATGCAGTGCTCCTGAAAATTCAGTGGAGTAGTAGCAGGGCCTTTTTTCTGGTTGACAGGTAAAAGCAAATAATCACATGAGTCAGATCATATATTCACTTTGAAGTTTATTATCAGTTGTATGTATTAGATATTTTAAAAGGAGTGTTGGAGAGTAGAAATGTATCAGTAAGAAGCCAGATGCATGCAAATAATGAGTACAGATAGTGCTGTTTTTACTATAAAAATACAAAGTGTATTTACAAGATTTTATATGTATAAGTATTTGTATGTATATCTATAGTGACCTAGCATAAATACGTATTCTAATACCTATTTAACTTAATACTTAGAATCTAACTAAATTACTTCCATTTCTAATACTTGCTAGTTTCTTCCTCCTCCTTTGCTATGTTATCTATAGGCTTAAGAATGCTAACAGCTTTTCCCCTTAATACTCTCTTGCCCAGTTATCCAGCACCTGAACCACATGGAGTTTGCTCTGCCACCATCTAGAGTCCAGGGCTGTGTCTTCTTTCTGCTGATTCTTCTTTGGTTTCAACTGCCTTAGGCATCTCCCTGGTTCTTCTCCCTGACCATGGATCCTCTGGGTTCTGGCTCTCCCAGCCATTGCCTCCTCTGCTCCATTCCTTGCCAGTCACCTGTCACCCAGCAGCAAC